AAAAAAATGGACATGCAAATAAAATAAAATCCATTTCAAGGAAAAATATCTGGCTAATAACTTGACTCCTGATAGGATCAGCTAATTACCAAATAGCTAAACACTCACTACTGGGTGTTTATGCAAGCAGAATACTGGAAGCTCTATCACATCAACATGGAGATGCACTTGGATGATTATGTAACCTTGAGAAAGTCTCTTGTTGGTAGTTTCCTATTTTAGAAACAGGTTTTTATCTGTGGTTTTCATACTACTACTTCAGCAGTGGAATCCTTTTTTTCAAGTAAAAAATCTTAGAACCCTTATATACATATGCATGCACACATTCTAGCCCACTATATTTCTTATTTTTGTCATTAATATAAATTTCCTTATATAAACTTTATGTACTATAATTACTAAACATTAGGTTAACCAATGAAAACACATAGTAATGCATTGGTAATACATATATTAAAATTTAGTAACAAATTTGTACCATTAGAGTTGTTTTTCTTTTTTAAATCAAAAAAATTTTTTAAATTCCAGTCAAATTTGCAGGTTCCTAAATCTTCTCCATTGATTCCTCTTATTACATGGAACATTTGTTATTTGAAAACCTTAGGATAAGTGATCCTCTGAGATGTTTTCCAGATCTAAAATTTTAATTGTCATTTTGCATTAGACTGAGTTTAATTCGGAGTGTCTTAATTCTAAAACATTTCTGGAAATGAGCAATGTTGCTTTCCAGGTTTTTGATCTCTCCAGGTATAGCCAATGATTTTATCCCCTAGGGTCACCTTTAAAGGAATTATTAAACAGTGACTTGATATTGCATATACCTTTTTATCTTGCAATATGAACTCCAAGACACTAACTGATCTACTGTGAAATATAAAAATGTTTTTTATTAGCCTTATTAAATGAACGTAGTTCTTTGCTCACTTTATTAAACTGAGTGATAATTCTTAAGATGTGAACTTTAGGTAGGTTCTATTGTAATATCTAATCATAATCATAAGAGTTGTAAATTTGTTTAATGGACAAAATGTATGCTTTTTCTATTCTGTACAGCTTTCTTTTTTAAATATGAAGTACTTAAATGCACTTACTATGATAGGAAATATGTGTGCCTTCTAGGATTTGTGAAATGGTCTCATGTTATTCTGAGGAATTTGTTTGTAAGCTATAGTTTTCCCTTCTATCCTAACTCAATAACAAAGGGTTTACTTATAATGCTGTAGTACTTTAGTTTGAGAAAATGAGTTTGACTCTGTACTGAATTTAGAGGTTGAGAATAGCAGCATTTTAGCAATTTTAGCTAAATGAAGAGATTTCCTTATGTTATTTCACATTCTTCTATACTAAATATTTATATTCCTTAAGAGGATTATTTGTGCTCTGAGGATTTGTGATGTTCATGTGCTACGTTTTGAGAATAATTTCAAATTGGACTTGATTTTCTTATATCCAATATACGTCTGGATAATAAGGCTGTTTGGAAATATCTTTCAGTTCAGTGATTTTTAATGTTGGGAAGGTAGGTTCATTAAAAAGCAGTCTGAAGAATTTACATTTTATCTGTTATATTTTAGTTTTATGTTATGTTTTGTTGTTATGTTTTATTATGTTATGTTTTGTTGATGTTTTGTTTGTTTTGTTGGAAGTTTACTTGGTCTATCCAGGAATAAGAAAACTAATTGGAGATTAGAGAAATCAGCTGATAACCCACACTGACAATATAATATATAATATTGGCAGTAGTAATATTTTGCCCTATTTGACAGTAAAAATAATTGATAAAATACTCTATCTTGTGGTTGTTTGGTGTTTACCTCATAAAAATCATTTCCAAGATACAAGAATATAATTAGAGATGCATCTTCAAAATTTTAGTGCTGAGAAAACACATAAGAGGAAGTGGCAGCTTATAATTAAATTTTCTGGTGCATATTATACTGTGGAGAAATTTACATTTTGGTGTCAGGAGACATAAAAGCCTCCTCAGAATGTATTCATAGTCTTACTGTCATCTTACTAAAAAAATATTTATTCTTTAGAGGTTGAGGGTACAGAAATTTCCACAGAGCTGTATTTATCTATGATTTGTGTGCCTTTTATTGGAGTTAATTACACTTGTTCTTTATAACAGCCATGGTTCAGGGATAGAACATTCAGGTGCACCACTAATATAGTTTTACTAGCACAGTACTCAGAAACAAGTAAAGAGATAGCTGGAGGGATGTGCTTTCAGCTCTGTTTAATCTAAGAGAAAGTAAAAGCCAGGAATGGGCCTTGATAAATACCATCCCAGGAGCTGAGATTTGTGTGCATGAGGCAAAGAGTAATGATGTTGACTGTTTCAGTCATACAACTCGAAGTTACACGGAAAACACACTAATTAACACTGCCTCAAAACTATTCTTTTAGAAACCAGTGTACAATTGCCTTTGATTCCAACTGTGAACACAATGGAAAGAAAGAATTTACCTCCAAAAAGACCAATCAAGTACAACAGTGTAGTCAGAGCATAAAGTGCTCCAGAAGATACATGCCTGGAAAGATTGCAGGACAGTAGAACCAACACACATTGGCTGAGCAGACTAATGTAATATCCAGGGAGAGGAACTTTGCTGATAAGCCCCTAATAAGGCAGAAGTTAGAGGAAAAAGATAGCAAAGATTTACCTTCTAAGGTCTAATGAACTTCAGTTTGAATAATTTGAATTTTTCTAGTGAATGTCATCCATGTCTCAGTCTTAGTAAAAAATAAACTGTTATTGATAGCTTTTCATTATGCCCAATCTCAAAAAAAACATTTGATGTAAATATTAATTTGAGATAGTTTTAAATTATTGAATCACAGTCCTAACATACTTTTATTTAATAATTAAAAAAATACTTGATACAGATAAAATTACAATGAAAAACTGTACAGTACTTGCTATGTTAGGGTGAATGTATACAAATGGAGACTTTTAAAAAATAATTTCTAAGATAATGACAGGTTTTTATTCAGTTTCATAATTAGCTATATAAGAGAGCACATATGTTTGCCTAATAAAAAGATTACATTTATAGTTTCATATGCTATGTTGACCACTGGAGGGGCAGGCATTATAAAGTCACAGGACAAGACAATCTAAAGTCAATACGCATGTTCCCACACAAAAACAGGGTTCTTCTAGTTTTGAGTACTTTGTTGAGTGCTCAGAGCCCAGGTCCTTAAAAAGTTGCAAAAAGAGAAATTCATCCATTTATTCCATGTGCATTTATTGAGCACCTACAATGTACTAGGCACTAGTAACAGATGAGGAATTCATTAACAAAGTTTAACTCCAGATTAGTTATAGAAATGCTTTCTACCTGGGACCACTCATCTTCTGAAGAAGTCTTCATATCAGGTAAGGGGGAAATTTTGTCTTTGAAAAAAATGTACCAGGTTACAGTGGTTTAAAAAGAAAAAGTCATTTGTTCAGTCTAATGGAATAGCAGAGGAAGGACTGGATTGGAAATAAGGAAACCTAGCTCTAGTTGTCTTATTAGCTGTGTGACCCTGAGCAAACAAATTTCACTTCTGTGGCCTAACTCTTCATCGATAAAATAATAATTGGGCTACAATCATAGGATATTAAAACCAAAAGGAACAGAGATCATTTGGTTCTGTATTTTTTAAAGTTTTTAGTTTTCAAATGAAAATATGTAGTAGCCCCAGTGGAAGACTGATGAAAGCAGAGTCACTTTGACAGCCCCCAGAGCCTCACTTGCCCCATTTCCTCCCCACCCGTGGAATTGTTCTTGGGGGGGGGGGGATTCACAGAACACATTTGTAAACACTTTCCAGACGAGGAAACCAAAACAGAATAGGAGTGCCCATGTTAATGAGCAAATTTGGTTTTATAAGTTAGAAAGAAGAGCTAAATAAAACAGGTTAAGAAATTCATAAAAAAAAAAAAGAAGGGAATCTCTTCTATTCCTCTCAAAGTAGCCCCTTTATGAAAGGGAGCTTTAAAGTGATTTTGTGTAAGGCAACCAGCTAGCCAAAGGCTGAAATGAACAGCTACCAATTAGCCTGCAAGGCCTGCAGAGAAAAGTGGCAGAAAACCACACAGGCCTCATGTCACTTGGCATTTGACCATGGATAATCCTGGCCCTAACTCTTTAGCCTCAGCAGGTACAAGAGAAATATGTGGAAAATTAGGAACAAGTACAGACTAGTGCCAGCTCCCAGGTGCCCGAGGAAAAGCTGCCATTTCTTACTCAGAAATACTAACAGAAGTGGGCATGTCTGATCATAAAATGAACAGGGCAACCAAAATCACAAGTTTAAAATTTCTTCAGACACATCCTCTTCACAGAGGAAAACCCTAATTTGGTATCTTGACCACTGTTAGCCATAGCTGACTTAAAATTAAACTAAAAGGTTAAGGTGCGTGTCGAGTGCAGACCTATTTGGTCAGGGCTGTGAACTCTTCTGATTTCATGGCATCAGACAGGAAGCTGAGCTCATTGCATAAGGTCTCATATCGGAACGCCATCCGGATCTGAGCAACATTTGTCTTTCGAATATCGTTTCCCTCAGGTCCTTCTTTGTAATAATTTTGTCCCAAAAACTTTTGCTTTTCCTGTGGACCAAGAAAAATACAAATAGATTCACTTTCTGTACCCACAGGGTAGCTTTGACATTAGCCATAACATACAGACTAGTCCCCGTGAAGGAAATTCCCCGTAAGTACATCTCCCTCAGGACTCATAAAATTCCTTCTGGCCTCTATGTCCCTGAGGATGTCACCTGACAACCTCGGTCATTCATTCCTATGATTTCCTGGAAGGGAAGAACTGTAGGAACTGCTGGGGATGGAGAAGGTGAGGTGAAGATGTTAAGTCCCTCCTGTGAGCTGACAAGAGCAGACAGGTGTTTCTGGGGAACTACACACAGAATCTTGAGCCTCTGTTCCCTGTATCGTCATCCACAAGTACAGCACCTGAGGTAGCCTCTTCTTGTACCAGTGACATTTCCCAGGGGAGGTGTCCCAGGAACTGAGATACCTTCCGGAGGAGGGTTCTCAACTCTGGCTCCACAGCAGAATCACAGGGATCTATACAAATATTGCTGACACCTGGGTCCCATCCCTAGAGTTTTTATTCAATTTAGATACTAGTCATCTAGTTTGAAAGTACTTAGTGGCTACTATGTGCCAGGCCTGTGCTAGGGTCTGGGGATATGCATGCAATAAGGCTCTGCCATCATAGAGCTTCCATTCCAAGAGAAAAACATAAGTACATGTTACAGTGTCGGTTGTGACAAATGTTATAAAGAAAAAACAGATTTAAGGAACAGAGGAGGATGGCAAGTGTGTGGCTATTTTAGAGTGTCATTGAGTACAGGTCTGAAAAGGGTGAGGGAGCAGCCATGAAAGTCCAGGAGGCTCCTGAGGATCCTCCCAGAGCCCAAGAGTCCGTGCACCAGAGGCCCCGCTTGTTCTGTTTGCCACAGACCCCCGTGCACACAGTAGACATTCTTTGCCCATTTGTTGAAGGATGGAAGGGACAAGGGCAGCCCCATCACACCGTACCTGATGTGAGAGGCCACTCTGCAGCACACTGTTCCTGGCGATCTCACACAGGTCACACGTGCTCAGCTTCCACACTTGGGCTGCAATGGCATATTCCTCCATCAGTGCTTCCTAGACCCCTCCCCAGAGGACATGGATTAGGTGTAGAATGTCCATTTCTACCCTTCACACATCTCCAAAACCGAAAACCACCTACATTGCAGAGCTCATTTTCCTTTACTACTTTTTTGGCACCTGAGTCTTTAAAGAGCATCACACCTTAAATCCCAAACTCCTAGGATCTTTTCTATGTGAAATTTTAAGTTACCAAACAGAAATAAAAGAATACCTCTACATTTGATTTTTGACCAGTACTGGGCTCTACCATGTTCAAAACTGAGTGCCAGTCATCAGTGATGCCAGGCTCTGTGCTCTGGGACAATCCCTGTTAAAAGGAGAATTCCTAATACCAATTAAATGTAATAAGAGTCTATTCAAGCAAAACAAAACAAAAATGACTCATGAATAGGGCAGCTCCCTGAGCCAGGACAGAGAACTCCAGCCAACAATGGGATCTGACAGCATTTATAGAAAAACAGAAAGCACACAAAACAACTTCACTGGTTACAGCTTCATCAATCAACCAGTAAATTGTTACAGCTTCACTAGTTAGTTGGCTCCAGGGTCTCCTGTAACCAACCTAAGCTCAGTTACTGAATTGTCTATAATGGCTTGGTCTGTTGGGCTTAGTACAGGTGCCCATTCCAAATCCATGGCCTCCTACAAAATTTTTACCCCTCTAGTCAGGCACATTTCTAATAGCTGCTCTTTAGAGTTACTTAATGCACTTTTTTCTTAAGATTTTAAAAGTATGAGTAAAGTACTGAGAGAAGAGATGGAACATTAAATAAGAATAAAAAATGGTCCTAGTACAAGCCAGGAGATAATGTTACCCCCAGAGGATGAGCTTTGTGCTGTGGGTCCTGTGTCATCTTTTGGGATGTGACTGTCTGCCATGAATCCCCAGTCCTCCCATTACCTCTTCCCCCATCCACCCCACTGCCTCTGTCTTCTACAGCAGTGGTTCCCAAAGTGCTCCAATGCCCTCTGGGACACAAAGACCTTCTGAAAGGTCCAGCCTTTGCCAACTATGTATCTTTGTGAGGCAATATTATTTTCACAAATTTTGATAAAAACAAATTGAATGCAGAAGCAGATATGGGAACCCAGCTGTCTTCTATTAAGTAAGACATTAAAGGATTTGTAAAATTGCAAAACAAAGCCACTCAGTATTTTTGTTTTTGGAAATAGTTATTTTTCATAAAAATTGCTATTTATATAACAAGTTCATAGTGTTATTTTTAAATGAATTAATAGTTTTAAATGTCTTTAGTTTCTAAGATTTTTCACTTTTCCCAGAAATACAAAGAGTAGTAATAATAATAGTATCGATAAAAAGGCACCTAATATTTTGAATAAATGCTAAATGCAGACATATTAGACTCTATTATAATTTTTAGATTATTTTCTTAATGAATTTCTGCAGGAACACAGAGAATTTTATGCCCATTTTATAAATGAAGAAGAAGAAGAATACAGAGAGGTTTAATAACTTGACCAAGGCCACAGAGCTAGTAAATATCAGAGAGGAAAATGGAGAAAAGCAAAGAAATGTACTTGTGTCTTCAAGGTTCAAGAACCCCAAAGAGGGTTCCTGAAAGAGAGACTTTTCCTTACCTGGGGCTCACCCTTTTTCTTTACTGGGTCACCAACCCCACCCCAAAGCCAAACTGAACCATGAGTACGGGTACCCACATGGGAAGACAGGCCAGGACCAAGGCTGCTTGGACACAGCCGCCCTTCCCCCAGAGCCCTCACCTTTGTGTAGTGGAACTGCATGGGGTCATCAGTGGAGAGAGAGATGTGCAGTCCCTTGTGCAGGAATTCCCGCAGAGGATTCTTGGAATATTCTAGGAAAAGGCTGTTGTTGCTAAGAGGGGACATAGCAATGGGGATCTGAGCAAGGTAGTAGAGATACTGCAATACCGGACTCTGCAAAAGAACCACCAAATTCCTGTAACACGTGCTGGAGGTTGGACAGTGTCCTTACAGGTCCCCAAGTTCCCCAAAGCCATTATACCCAGCCTACCTTCCCTTTTCCTCCTTTCCTCCATTCCTACATCACATGCCAGCCCCCAGGCCACAGCCTTGCTATCTACCCTCGGTTTGGTGTACACACTCTTGGCTTTAGAGTCAAGGCACAGTGAGGAGCAGAAGCGGCAGTTGCCGCAACCTACATCTTCATCTCCCCTCCCCCAGGGGACCCAAGTCAGGCAGGAGATGCTCCATTTGTATGGTTTTGTGCTTTGATTTCAAACATTCAAGTAGAGATTATAAACACTGCAGCCCCTCAGTGTGTTCTGAAGGGATGGATGGGGCACACTTGGCCAAGATGCAGGGGTCTTCTCATGTAGCGTGCACCCCACACAGAAATGTGACACAGGCTAGAATTGCCAGACCAGGGTAAGGGCTCCAAACAATATTCCTATGGAAGTGACCCAACATATGGGAAGACTAAGTAATCAGAGTTCATGGTAGCATTATTTCCATAAGGGAGAAGCTGGATGGCTGATGTGTGCCCACCACTGGGACTAGTTGAATCAGTTGTAGACCAAGTGGCAGATAATTCATCTAAAGCCTTTGGAGTGAGGAGCCAGGTATTATATTGCAGCACAGAAAACTGCTTACTATACAGTGTTAAGGGACAATGTAGGAGCCAAATTTCTGTGTTTACTATTACAGATGCATTAAAAATATGCTGTGGGTGAGCCGGGCACATTGGTGCCCAGCTGTGATCCCAGCAACTCAGGAGGCTGAGGTAGAAGGATCACAAGTTCAAGACCAGCTTCAATAACTTACCAAGACCATGTCTCAAAATGAAAAAATAAAAAGGGCTGGGGATGTGACTCACTGGCAGATTGCTTGTTGTGGATGAAAGATGGGAGTTGGAAAAACTAAAAAGCTAATAAAGCTGTTTCCATAAATTAGTAGCAGTAAGGCTTTTTTATTAATTTCTCCATTTTTCAGAAAATCTCAATCGTGACGTGCTTGGTTTTATATTACTTTCAAAATTAAAAATGAAACCAAGATGACTACAGACAGCCCGGCCCAGACAAAAGCCCTGGCCCTCTAGCACCACTGGCCAGGGGCAGACAGCTACTGCGGGGCAGGGTCCCGTGGGTGGCTTGCTTACCTTCTTGAGGAGCAGCCCATGGGAAATGTTGTCAGCAGTTAGAAAGGCAGACACCAGGTGGGTGATGGAGCCAGCCTCCCCACAGTGAGGCCGGAACAGAAATGTGCTCAGGCCTCGTTCCCTGTTGGAAAAGGGAGGCCCTAGGTCAGGAAGTACCTCTGGTTCACTCGGCTTGGGGTCCACACCCTCAGCCCAGGACCTACTTCAGGGGAGACTGTGTCTATGGCACAGCACAGCTGACCCAGTACAGCCTAGAAATAACCCCTCCAAAAATTCAGAGGCCCAGGCCTAGAGCCCCTCAGAGCTAACAGTTATGATCTCCAGGGGCAGAGATAGGGCCTAGGATAACCTGGCTGCTTGCTACCGACTCTTGTGCTTTCCTTGTCTCCAGGACTTGTTTCCCATTCATGAGCCTCCAGGGCATGAAACACACCATGACAAACCAAGTCCAATCTCTTTATAACAAAAATGGGCAAACTGAGGTGCAGAGAGTAAGGCTGTATTCAGTGAAGCCACTGAGCAGGTCCATAGCAAAGCTAGAACTAGAATCCCCACCTCTAAAAGCTCATTCAAGGACTGCCTCCACCCAATACCAGGTCTCTTCCTTCAACCACGGCCCTGTTCACAACCTCCACACCTACTAGCTCACACTGGCCTAGGCTGAGCCATGGGGCCCATAGGCCCAGCAGGGGCATGGAGTGGCTCCCGGCCCTGCTGCCCTGGGCATCTGACTCCTACTGTGTGTGCCTCGTATGTGGTTGGAGGCAGCCTGTGCAGGTAAGACCACTCATGAGGCACTAGTGGACTAAGTGTGCTTTCATCCATTAGTTGTTTGGTGCCTACATTGTGCCCATCACATTGTAGCTGCAATAATTAGCTGAAAACACAAATGTGTGCAGACACTGTTGGTGTCGAGTGAATGTTCATGTGTGCTCACATGTCCTGTTTCTGTTGTCTCAGGGACATACAGGTACACATGGAGGTATGTGTTGGTGAGTGTGTACCTATGAACTGTGTGGTGTGTAGCTTCACTGTATATATGCATGTGTGCTGGCATGCGTGTTGTGGACATGTCGGCATGCATGTGTGATTTTGTGATGCATGCCTTGTGTGGTGTCCTGGGGGTTGTCTGTGTGAACAAATGGATGTGTTGGTTGGAGTGTACATAGCTGTGTGGAGTGCATGCACATGGGTATGTGCTAGCGTGTGAACACAGGCCTGTGCAAGGGGCGGCCTCACCCACCTGCGGAGGTTGTTGAGCACCATGATGTTGGCATACATATAGTACAGGTAGTAGCTGTAGGGCGGGTTCTGCTCGCTGGTCCAAATGTCTGGGCTGGGGCTCTTGTCTGAGAACATGTGGTCGCTATGCTTGGACTCATCATCCACACTGTCAAACCCTGTCACCTGAACAAAAGAGGAGGTCTTGAGCATCAAGCCAAAGTGGGACAGGTCAGGACTCAGGTTTGGCTCAGCCTCCTGTGGCTCAGAGCTGAGCTTTGGAGGGCCTAGGAGTTCAGGCCTCTCAGGTTCACGTCTCACCCAGGAACCCCAAGCCTGACTGAGGCCACTTTCTTCCCAGGGATGGGGACTGGGTGCAGTGCCTCAGTCTGTTCTTTCAGAGATTCCCATGGTCCCCGTAGGCCAGGCTGGAGAGTGCCCAGTCCCTGTGTGGCAGTGTTGATAGTCGGGACAACTCAGGTTGGGCCAGGTGAGAGTGTGGTCCCTAGACCCACTGCCCATCCCTCTTCTGTGCCACTGCCAGCAGCATAGTGACAAGCTATGACAGGGAAGGGGAGCTACTCTATGTCATGCACCTACTACACCCCAGGCCCTGCTTCAAGCTCCTCACACCAGTTAAATCAACACTAAAGAACGCTGTAGGGGAGGGGTTGGCTACGAGCCCCATCGTAAAGTTGGGCAAACCAGGGCCAAAGTGGTAAAGGAAGTTGCCTGAGTAAGATGACGCACAAGGGCCCTAGGTCTGGGCCCTTTGGGGCCTTAGGTAGAAGATACACTGGGGCACGTCCAGGTGTGGCCTGAGATGCCAGCCAGGTGCCTCAACAGACCAGAGGCCCACTGTCCAGGCTGAGCTATTACTCCCACAGGCAGCTCTACTAGCTGAGGGGAACTGCCCTTTGAACCAGGTCACAGGGACCTCAGGAAGCTCCTTCTTCCAATGAATTAGACCTCAGCTGGAATTCATCTGTGGATTCCCAGAGCCTCTGGCTAATCCCAGAGGCTGGGCCCTGACCAAGAACATACCTGCAGAGGACACAGCCCTCAGCCAGCACTTGGGGGAGGTCTGCCAACAGCCTCCCTCCTTTCACTTGGCCTTAGCAGGATTTTGGGGAGAGGCCTGAGCACCAGACAGAAGAAAGAATGATTTCCCAACTCAGGCCACAACTGGCCACTCCTAGCCCAGGCCCCAGGCTGTAGGCCCTGGCCCCAGCCAGATCTGCCAGCCTGTCTGGTGTCTCTGTGGACAGGAGGGATCCTGCAGAGTAGGGAACACAAGGGTCTTGACCAGAAACTTCCTGTCACAGAGCCCTCTGTTCAAGGGAACAACACATTCCCACCATGGCTCTCAGCAGCTCCTGAATGGGTCTGGGGAGCTAGGGAGGACCTCCAGCTCTGCTATGACAACTGAACATTCCAGCAGGGGATAGTGCCATCCCCTCTCCCAATCTCTATCCACCCAGTACAGGTCCTCACCACTGCATTTCACAGGCCTCAATCTCAAAATACGTCCAAACCCAACTCCCCTCTCAAGCCTGCTCTCCCCTCACAGTTGACAGCAGCCTTCAAATACACCATCCACCCTCCTGCAAAGCAGGCACCCAGGAAGCATCCGTCTCCTCCTTCTTCCAGCCTCCACTTAGGTCCCGTGAGTCTACACTAGCCCCTTCTCATGAAGCCTGTCTCTGCCCAGAGCCCCTGCCCTGTCTCGAGCAGGCCTCAAGCTCACTTCCTGTACACAGGAGGCAACACAGAACAGGGGTTCAGGGCACAAGCTCTGGAGTCAGGTCCTCCTGGGTATGAATTCCAGTTCTGCCACTTTCTAGCTTTGTGATCTGTTTCATTTCCTGGAGTGTACACTGGAGCCTGTAGCTTCATAGGGCAATTGAGATTACAGGAGAGAATCAATGGAGGGCCCTGCACATAGTGTCCAGCACAAAGTACACGGCACACACACAGTAACTCTGCTTATTACCAACAGCACAACTGAGATGCAGACAGGATAGCTGTGAGGCTGAAGCAAGGCCACATAGTGGCATACCACTAGGCCTGGCAGCAAGAGCAAAAAATGTGAGCTGTCACCGTTGGCTCAAGTGCCCACTATGTCTCTGGGGCTGGAACAGGCCTCTCACTCTCCTCCTAGCCCCCCATCACCTTCTGTTTCAGGCCTTCCTCCTCCACACACAGCCAGATGATGCTTGTCTAAATCATATACTCAGTGAGGTCCCTCAGCTTGTCGAAACACTTTCCAGGCAGCCCCTACATGTCCAGACTCAACCGCTCCCTCCCCAGACCTTGGTCCCCTGGGCTCCTCCCTGCCAGACCTCATCCCATCACCTCCACCTTCACCTCCATCAGTACCTCCACGTCCACCTCCCCAAAGCCTCCTCCAGTCCTGAACTTGCTGCTCTGTCTGACATCCTCTTTACTCCTGGCATCCAGAGGAAGAGGGTGAAAACTGATCCCCTCCCTCCTGGAGTCTCTACCATACCCCTTCTTCCCTTTTCCTATAACTACTCAAATACAGAAGTGAAATATATTTCCTGGTGTGGGAGGCCATCCTCGCACATGATTTGAGTTACCTCTCTGGCTGGGTGAGAGGTGCTTAGACACAGCTGTGTCTGAGCCTTCCCCACCCTTTCCCAGGTCCGAGGGCTTGTCCATGCAGAGGCGTGCCTGGCCACTGACCTGAAGACCCAATCATCATCCTTGACCTTGGGATGCTGCCCCCCTTAACCTTCATTGGATGGGATTTTCCCTGGATTTTTTTTGTTCCCCAATAAAAGCTCAGTCACGTACTCTCCCTCTCTCGCTAGTCTCTTGTGTAAACCTTACCACCTCATTAGGTGGCTGGAGGCGGGAGCTAGGAGAAGCTGTCTCAGAGCTGATATTAAAGGTAATGAGAGTCTGTCTCTTTAATTTAAAACTCCCTAATAATTTCTTATGACCCGAACCTTCTTTCATGAAGCCCGCGCTGGTCACGTGGCAGATCCTGGAGCTCGTTATACTAAACCAAAAATGGTGTGAGGACCTTTGTTTCAGGTAAAAAGAGAGGAGCAGAAATGTCTGCATTTTTAAGGAGACCCTGGGGCAGCTTGGTGCTGGCGGGGACAGGATGCATGTCTTCAGCGTGCGTGGCCAGGAACCAACTCTCAGTCCTTTCCTACTCGCTGCCCTTCCCCACTGGACCCACAGACTGCCCCAGGACCATCATCACCAGCACCCACCCGAGGCTGCCCCTGAGGACCTCCCACCTGGGCATGCTCCCTTATTTTAGAAAATCTGCTTCTAGGGGCAGGCAGCCCTAGGCCTAATGTACAGGGTGGCGGGAGCTGAGAAGGGAGGCCATGGCAAGGAGTGAGCCCTCCTCTACCATGGTAAGCTCACCTAGGTACCCACCACTTACATATTTGAGGAAGAGGTGAAGCTCCCGATGATCTTGGGGGTTGATTGTGGCCTTAAAAAGGGGCAGGAAGATATTCTCCAGCATCTTTCCAAAGTTTGGCAGCAGCTTCTTTGACCTAAATATATCACTGTAGGGAAGCAAAGACTGGCCTGTTGGGTGGACCCACAGTCCCCTTGGCCTGCTACAGAGTGGCCACAGTCACTTCAGCACTGCTTCCCACTAAGCACCCCGGGTAGAGTCAGCTGTGGCCCGTCTGCAACACTGGGCAGTGCTGTGCAACTTCACACCTGCCTCACCTGTCTCAAGCCAGAGGCCATTCACGAGTGGGGCGAAGGGATTCAGGTGGCCAAGGGTCCCAGAGAGGAGTCCTCCAGTTTCTCAGTGATCCAGACTCAGTTCCACTCAGCTCAGTTTCCTTAGACCCCACACCCCAGCCCACCCAGGAGGGGAGCAGTGATCCAAGGGGAAGTCAGCAATGTGGGCCACTACCACGACACCCCAGGCCTCTAGGCCCACCCAAACCTTCAACAAGAAGGCAAGCCAGTAGACCCCACAAGGCCTTGGCATATAAATATTCTTCAAAGAACCAAATTTTAAGTATCAGAAGGGCGTCTTTGCCAACCACTCTTCCCTGGGGAGGAGAGGTCTAAGACGGCACTGGACTTAATAGTCTCCAGCCCACCAGACAGGATGTCATGCCCAGGGGCATGGGGCAGATACTGGGGCCCCTCACTCACTAGATCCGGGGCACCTGGATGATCCAGCGCATGTTGGGTGAGTAGACCTTGTGCTGGATGAACCAGCGGGCCAGGTTGGGCCACTCCTCAGGACTGCGGCCATAGATGGAGAGCCGTGGCTCCGAGTACTGGTACTTACTCTCCTCCAGCTCCCGGGCCACCTCCTGGCACCAAGAAGAACCAGGTCAGCCCCAAAGCCTCCAAGCTACATGGAAGATTTCTACCTCCAGCTCTGCATGACAGCTGGGTCCTGGGCCAGCTGCTCCCAGCCTGATCTGCATCCCTGCTGCCTACTGCCATGTAAGCTCTTGAACCATAGTGAAGGCTCCTCCCCTGGGGGAGAAAGGCCTTGGGTCTGCACCGTCACACTGCAGAACTAGGCTGGGCAGCAACAACAACTCCACCCGGAGCCAACCCGCACCCAGCCAAGTTTAGACTATAAATAGAGACAGGCATGGTGCCAGGATGCTGTGAGCTCTGCCAAGGTGGATGCCCTCCCCTCCTCCTCCCTGCAGTTGGCACACAGCACCAGCCTGCCCATTCTCAGAAGAAAGAGACCAGGGCCAGAGCATAGGTTCCTGAGCTGGGTAGTGGATAGAGGAGATTCAGGGAAGGGAAGGAACAGAAGGCCATGCAGGGTCCCCCCTGAAAGCAGACACCATCAGGTATCTGAGGTGGCCTTGGAGAGGCCAAGGGACTGCTCACCTTGACCATCCTGGCAAAGTACTCTCCTCCCAGGTAGTTTTCAGTTTTTAAATACAGGTCGCGAAGCTCACTGGCCCCCACAGGGTTGTATTTGGAGTTGAACTTGTCAAAACGATGGAATGTCTGTCGGCCCTGAGGGGAGGAGGCCACCAGCCCTCACCACATTGTTCTGCAGCCATCAAGCATGTTTCCCTCTCCAGGCCTTTAGGTGTGGCCTTAGGTGTGGCCGCACGAATGATGTCTTTAAGTCATCTGCATGAAATCTTGGAAATTTCCAAGGGCCAGAACTGTGTATCCTCACAGCCAGCCACAGGCTCTTTTCTGAGTCACGGTGTGAAGGAGCATGGAGGGCTTCAAGCTCCAAGGAACCATGGCAAGGAACATGCCAGCTAGAGAGCAGATGAGGCTAGACCACCGAACAGCAGACAATGATGTGTTTTCTATGCCTTTTTAAGGCCGAATAATATTCCATTGTGTGGATATACCACATTTTGGTTACCCATTCATCTATCGAACACTTGGGTGATGTCTACCTTTTGGCTATTGTGAGGAATGCCCCTGTGAACAAAACGTTGGCACATGGTGCCAACTCCAGTCTCTAATTTCAGTTCTTTTGGGTGTCCACCTAGGAGTGGGATTGCTGATTATATGGTAATTTTATAGTCAACTTTTTGAGGAGCCACCATATTTTCCACACCATTGCTTAGTGTTTTAGTAACAAGGCACATGGCAGTTACCATGTTATAGGCAAGGAAATAAAACCTTCAGTGAGTTGCTTAAGGGCATATAACTCCTAAGTGGCAGAAAGGGGATTTGAACTTGGACTCATCTGACCAGAAGTCACACACCCTTCCTCTGTCCCATGGCTGCTCCCAGCCCCATTATTTTATGAGGTCAAACTAACACCACAGCCTCCAAGACAAGAGCCAGCAGCTCTCCAAACACAATCACAGCATTTTCCAGGGGCTGAGTCCCCAATCAGGACTCCTTTCTGTTCATGGCACTGGGGCAGAAGCTCACTCACAGCATGGACATCCAGCGAATCCACAGTGAGGTCGTAGGGGTCCATGTGCAGGCTGTCGAACACCTGCCGCAGGGTGATCTTCCGGCCCAGCTTCTCAGCCACAGTCCTGTCAGGCTCCGTCTGGTACGTGTGCTTGATGAAGCGGAGCAAGTGCTTCTGGTTCATGCAGGCCGCTGCGTGGATGTGCGTGTCCACCTAGAACAAGCACCCACCAGTGAGCCAAGCTACATTCTCCTCAACAAAAGAGCCCGGCCCTCAATGTGGAGCACAGAGCCTCGGCACCATAAGGGCCACAGAGGCAGTGCCTACCTAGGCCTGGAGGCCCCTCCCCATTTCTCCTCTGAACTTCAAAACTGGTCTCCTCCCCTTTAGCCTTGCTGCCCAATCCACCTCCTTACAGCACCAAGAGAGGGTTCCAAAATGGAGACTGGATCAGGCCACTCCCTGTTAAGAAATCATAGTGGGCCAGCATCCTCAAAGTAAAGCCCGGCTCCTTAGCCTGGGAGTCAAGGCTACTTGCCACTGCCCCATTCTATGCTCCAGCCATGGCCAACCATGCCCGCATGTTCAGGGCACCAACCTACTCCACTCTGCGGCGCTTTGCCCACACGCATCCTCAGCCAGGAGTGCCTTCCCACCTCCCCACCAACCTCTTCCTTATCCTTCTACATCCTCCACTTGGACACCAATCCTGATCCCCTAAAAAACAACTAACCCACCCTCTCCTTGCCTGACTGGGACCCTGGCATAGACATTCCCTTGCTGTGTCCATCCTCCTGACCCATTCAAATATGTTTCTGTCTACTCCTCCACTAGCCTGGGAGCTCCTCAAGCACAGGACCATGTCTGATCCACCCAGTCTCTACTTTCTACCCCAGAGACTGGTAAGATGTACCGGGTGAATCAATGAATGGATGAATGAACAAATGCACTCTCCATCTCTGGCACAGTTGTAGTAAGGTTCTGTATCCTCATATAAGCCTGAGGGCCCGTGAAATGCCTTACAGAATCCCCCTCCCTCTCAGAACCCCCTAACATTCTGAAAGCAAGGTCCAAGAGGGAGTGAGTGAAGACAGCAGTCACTACCACACACTTCCTCGACCAGTTCCAGCTCACCCCACACCCAAGGCATCCACACCCCAAGAAGCAGTGGCTCTTCTGACCCCGAGACAACCTTAGAACTCAGAGCAAATGCTAACTTGAAGAAAGGCACATCCCTCTTCTCCCCTTACTTCATGGCAAGGCAATGTCCTTAAGAAAGCCCTGGAAGGAGCCCACCAGGGCCTCAGAACACCTAAGAAACAGGATTTCTTACATCTATGTCTCTCTGGCCTCTCCTTTTCAACCTCCTCAGTCAGCTCATCCTCGCTACCAGACCTCCAATACTGGCATTTCTTCAGGCTTGGTCTAGGCCCTCCTGTCCCCTCACTATATACTCTTTTCAAAGGTGATCTGTGCCATCTGTGCCTTCGATTTTCTTCTTTATACCAAAAACTTACAAATGTGTATCATCAGCCCAAAGCTCCAGAATTGTAGAGAGAGCTGCCTCTTTGGCATTTCCACTTGGGAAATGCAAAGGTCCTTCAAATTTTAAAGTGGACAGACTCTCCATCTCTGGCCCTAGACCAAACCTGATTGTTTCCCAGGTTCCTGCACCCCAGGAAATGATCTACCCTGCACCCAGCTGTTCACAATGGAAAACTGCAAGTCATCCTCCGCCTCCCCTCCCTCCTGCAAGCACCAGCCAGATCCATCAATTCCCCCTTCCAATTAAATCTCAGATCCACACAATGGATGACCCGTCTTGCCACTTTTTCTCTTGCTCTGGTTCAATTCATTCTTCACTCAGAAGCTAGAATGGATTTTTTGATGCAATTTGATTCTGATTAATATTCTCTCTAATCTAATACTGCTAATACTGCTTAGTCCCTGCCGTCTCCCCACCTTCCACATCCCCACTCTCCATTTTCCTCTGTGCTCCACTCCCAGGACAGCCACTTGGCTAAAATGAGAGATGGCCTAAAGTCATAGTGGGCATCTTGCACCTCCTTCTATGAGCCCACGGGGCCTAAAGGAAGTCCCCAGGGAAGGAGACAGCAGCCTCACAGGCCAGGATGCCACCCACCACCAGTCTGCAGCATGGAGTTACTGCTGGGGCTAACTGGGCACTGTGCGAGGGCCAGGGTGAGGAGGTGCTGACCTCGGGCCAGGGAAGGCTGTTCACAGCTGGTTGGGCATCTCCACATGGTGCCAAACGAGACATTTGATCTCTTGGACTTCTATGCGTGTTATCCCCGCCAGCCCGTGTCATTGGCCACATCACTCTGTCAGCAGGGTCCTTCCTGCCATTAATCCTGCCACTCTTACCAGAAAGATAGACCGCTGGACATCAGAGAAATGACACCACTCAAGGTACTAAAAACCAAAACATCACCCAAAGCACAGAGTCAAGGCTCAGGCACTTCTTGTGCATTCCTTTGGGATGCAAGAGAGAGAAGGTCAGCTGGGATTAGCTCAGCAGGACACAGCCTGGCTCCACCGCCTGAGCATGACTCAGCACATTCTGGGCTTCTGCGTGTGTCCTTCAGTTTACCAGTGACACACCACAGGGGGTTCAGCCTGTCCTTACCCCGTGAGTCACAAGATAAAGAAGGAAAACAACTGGACAGTCCAGGAAGCACCCAATCCAAACTACAGGACCTCAAAGGTTGATTATTTTAGGAGCAAGTCAAAGAACTTGTCATTGAAGGTCAGTATTTTCAATTCACCCGAAGATCCAAGCACATTCTCTGCTCTCTCCTGAGATCCAGGTCTACAGAAACTGTAGAGTTCCCAAAACCTGAGACTGGAGCTAACACTGGCCTTCCCATACCAATGGCGGACATCAGCAATAGGTCACAGCACTCTTTTCACTGAGATTCTGGAATAGCTTCAAGGAGTCACTCCCAACTGGTCAAGTTTGGCACAGAAGCTGAAACCTATTTGCTATCCCTGATGTGACACTCAAGCCCAAATGGATAGTGCCTAGTCCTACTCTACTCCCAAGCAGCAAACCCCCTCAGCCCTTCTGTCTCAGCCCTGAACAGAAAACAAGTGTCTCGGTTACACAGTGCTGCCAGCTGGGCCTCACAGTGTCATAACCCACCACCCACCACCCACATGTATCCACAGCCAGGCCTCGGCCCCGGCATGCCCTGCCTCTGGGAAACAACAGCCACCTCCAAAATAGGGAGCTCCCCTCCCAGCTCACTCTGGGTTTTATAAGGCCAGCTCTCCTCGCCACAGTACAGATTTTGAGGGTGAGATAAAGCTGCTGGCACCCAGGAGGCTCCCTTTACCCAGGACAGAGAGCACAGCCTGATGCAGTGGCCCCAGGCCCTATGCACCAGAGAAAAGGCCACAATGTCACCACACACACACACACACACACAGACACACACACACACACACACACACACGAGGACACCTTGTGTTCAGAGAGCACAGTAACCCCCAAAGTGATAGGAAGCCCAAGGATCAACTCTGATATGGAACCACAGCTCTACACAAAGGCTAGGGCCCACACTGTGGCAGGGAGCAGATGGTGAGTCCTTGGGGCCCACCCCAGGAACAAACGGCTTCAGAGCCCGTCCAGGTCAACAAAGACAACTGTCAGGCAGCAGCAGGAGGCAGGCCCAGCACAGTTCACGTCTGCAGAGGGCAGGGCTGCCCTGGGCTGGGCAGGACTGTGGGAAGCTCACAGTGACTGAGGCACCTGCCTAACACCTGAGGCTCACAGAGAAGGAACAAATGGTGCTTGAGGTGAAAATGCCCAGCTGCCCACATAGGTGTGTCTAATGCATGACCTTTAACCTCTACCCGGAAATCCCCAACACTCTTCCACAGCCTTTAGGAGCCCGGAGCCCGTGAGCTGAAGCTAAACTCTCACTTCTAAAGGCTCTTAGTCCCGTCCACGTGGGGAGTCCAGATGGCATTAACAGGGGGTCTTAGGCCTCCCCAAGATACAGGAGAAAGAGGGGCCTTCCATCTGGATTGCCAAGCGAACTCAGTCAGGAGGTCAGGGAGGCTGAACAGGGCTTTCCCAGAGGAGCCACTGAAGCCAGATTTACAGTTAGGCAGTCAGTGTAGTTAGGTAAATCGGGTCTAATATCGAGTGAAATCTAAAATGGAGGCCATGCTGGGAATGACTCAGGGAAAACACAGGACAATTCATGGAATGTTAATGAAGTCCCGAAAAGGCCCTAGGCCAAAGTCCACCTCAAAGAAGTGTTAACCAACAGCCCCAACAGATTTGGAGATAGCCCATCCCAGAGAAGTGATAATCCCATCCCAAAAGGTGATAATTAGGTCCACCTGTGTCCTAACCCTTCCCCCTTGCATTCCATCACCAAAACTATAAAAAGGGGAAACAACCGCACTTCCACGGATTCCACCCCTTGGGTCCCCTTCTTCCTCTGAGAGAAGTCTTTTCTGCTGTCCTTTAATAAACTTCTAATTTCTACTCTGACCTTGCCTCGGCGTGTGCTTTTCTGGTGTTATTCTTCAACATCGGGGAAGCAAGGACTCGTCACCGGTCAACAGCGGTAACACCACAAGCTGATCCTAGAGAGAGGAGATCCTCAAGAGGTCCCAGCAGGACAGAGGTGGCTCTGGAAATGACGACCTCACCATGACCCGCCCAGGTTTGGCCGTCCTCCTCCAAGCACCATCTAAACCCCCTGCCCCCACTGATTCACCTCCAAGAACACAAGCACACGCAGCCCACCTCCCAACCCACAGACCCCATTATCATCCAGAACCCCCACACCCCTGCAGCTTCATTCCTCACAACCCACTGCTCTCCTCTCTCTGACCCAAGCTCCAGCCACACCAAACTAGCAGCTATGTCAAGACACCACTCTAACCCTCTCTCCCCTCGCAGGCACGCACGCCTCTCCCCCTCCTGGCATTTGCACATGCTGTTCCCTCCACAGGAAATGCCAGGGACGTTGCTGCTTCCCTCCCTGCATAACACTCTGCCTGGCTAGCTTCTTACCCTGTAGGTCAGCTTAGTTAGTTCTGGCCTCCTCCTGAAAGCCACCCCATTACACTTAACCCTTAGGTAGCAGACGGAGGAGCTTCTCATCAGCAGGAAGTAACTTGCTCACCATCAAACGCCCCATGCTTAGCACCGATCCTGCCTCACTATAGGTTACTTAAATGGAAGAAAACGGAAGAGCTGCAGCACATAATCACTTAGTATGCGCACCTGCCACCACTCTGCAGGCTGAAAGTGCCAGGAGCCACTCGGCCACTCAAGGGGTACAAGAGGGACAGAGACAGGAGCACATAAAATGTTCTTCTTTAAATATACCTTGGGCTGGGGTTGTGGCTCAGTGGTGGAGCACTTGCCTAGCACATGTGAGGCCTGGGTTCAATTCACAGCACCACATATTTATAAATAAGTGAATCAAATAAAGGTCCATCGACAACTAAAAATATATGTAAAAATAATTTTAAAAAAATAAAAAATAAATACACCTATCCTGAAGGACACAAAACCATAAACTACCAAAATCCAGAGGTCATATAGCTTTTTCCCTCCATGATGAATCTAATTCTTTCCCTACCCTAAGAGTGGCTTGTGCTCAACAGTTACGACCACCTAAAGGCTGTGTCCTGCTTCCCAAGGCACATTCCAACAGAGGCACACCATGGCGTGGCCCCCCAGTACCGTCTGAGGCACATCCTGACTCTAAGAACACAGTTCACCCACATCTCTTCTGCACGGACCCATCACACTCCTCTGGCCAAGAAGGGCCTTCACCAGCCTCCACTCTCACAGGGCACTAGCCCCAAACTGGCTCAGGACAGCCCCGGTGTGGGGAAGGGAGCCAGCCAGGTGGGTTGGACACTGGCCACTAACGCACCTTTCTCACGTTATAGAAGTCTCGATGGGGGTTACTCTTCAACTCTTTGAACTCGGACATTTCATTTAACATCTCGTGAAGGCTGAACTTGGATTCCAGAAAGTTCAGTCGCCGGTGACAATAGGTTTTCCTGCAGGTTGGGGAAGGGGAGAGACCACAGTTGAGGGGCAGTGACATCAAACTCTGTTTGGAGACTTCCAGCACAGGTGGGCCAAGCCCAGTGTGGGCGGTCCAGTTCTGGGAGCATGGAGCCAGGAGGGCTCAGAAGCTCCCAGATTTCTGTTGACCTGACTGACCTGGCTAACACGTCGGTGTGCCCCAGTGAGAGTGGAGAGTAAAGATACAGGGCAGCAGAGATGACTTTGAGACCCTGTATTTTTGACTTCTAGCTCTATGTGTTTAGGCAATTAACCACGAGCCTCCCTCCCCATGAATGAATCGCTGTTGAGATGGTAATTCCAAGGCTGAAGTGAAGGTTAAATTGGTTGATGCCTATGAAAGGGCCTGACTCCAAACAGAGTGGTTACTCAATAAGTCTCCCTCTTTTGTCCCCTCTTTTCTTTCTTCCCATCTGTCCTCAGCCACCTTTTATTCCTTGAGAAATCAATTGTCCAGAATATGGATAATACAGTCACACTATAAGGCATGGCCTGCCCACCTTGGGATACAGAGATAACTCCCACCCTGACCAAATGCTCCCAAATCCCAAGACCTGAGGACCCCCAGACTCTGAGGCTTCAGGACAAGAGGAGAATATTTCTCATCAGAGCCAGATTAGGAGCACAGGGGTATTTATCACTGGGATGGAAATCTCTGTGAGACTCATGCCCCAAGTTCCCACCAACTCAAAGAAGGTACTCATGGGTAAAGAGGTTTTCTCTGCCAGCAAAGGTGGGAGCTTACTGCTGTGGTCAGCTGCCAGCCCACACCCAGCCAGGGTTGGCCAGCCACATGCCTTGAGTCCAAGACCACACAGAACCTTTGACCATAACTCATGCCACCCTGCTTCTGCACACAGCAGCTGCTCCATATCCCATCACTGAGGCTAAGAACAGCTGCCTACCTGCAAGAGTGCCACCCTGTCTGCCAAGACAAGCCCAGGATGAGCCCAGGGGTGTCATACAGTGAGAAAGGAGGTCAAGCCCAGCCTCTTTCCAAGAAGGACTCTCCTTGAGAACCACTCAGGCAGGACAGCCACTTCTCACACACTTGGCCCAGAAGGGCCTCTGAAAGAAAACTACCCCGTCCCCACCCAGGGTCTTAATTGGATCAGTGAGGACCAAGCTACCCATCCACCCCAGACCCACTCTCTTCCCTTAGGACCCAGCATCACACCATTCCCAACAAAACCCAAAAGGCAACAGCAAAAGAGCAGGGGCATGACAGCACACTCCCCTCCCAACCCCGACTCTGGCACATTCACTCCAAGGCTCTCAAGGTGCAGATTGCTGAACTTCCACACTGATAGCTCAAGTGCCCATCAACAAGTGAGGAACCAATTGCAGGAAAACAGCCACCTGCCAGCTCAGCTTGAGTCAAGCCCATGGCCTCAGGGGGATCAGAGCCACAAAGTGCCCTAGGCTCTCTGCATGTCCTCTCCAGAAACACAGAAACCCAAGACCTGGAGCGACAGTCATCGCTCCTCCTCCCTGTGCGGCCGTGTCTCAGGCTGCCAGTTCTCTGCAAGGCTGCTTTCTTGCCTGACAAGAGGCGTGGCAGTCATTTTAAGGTGCCCAGGTTGCCAACAGCAAACAGAAGTTCCACACCTATACCGCAGAAGGGACAAGTAGTAACAACTCTAAGAGTGTGGCAGCCCAGGAAGGGAGATTACTGCAGAAACCCACAAAGCAAAGAAAGGGAACGACAACCACTCTTTCAGGATGGTTTACCTGCAGGAAAACCTCAAACAGAGGGGCAGCCTAGCTGGCTTTTCCCAGCTCCTTCCTATAATGAGAGAGAGAGTTGGGGAAAGCTGGCTTACGTGGGGCCGTCAGTGATGAGAGCCAGGATGTGGCTCATGTCCACCGTGTAGGTCTCCAGGTCAGGGTAGGGCAGGCTGTGGGGCTCCTGGCGCTCCAGCATCTTTTTGTTATCATACACGAAGAGGATGCCCCCCTGCATGCAAACCAGGTAGCCCAGATTGGGGGGTGCATCATCCAGGCAGTAAGGGTCTTCCCCGGGCTGCGGGGGAGGGTGGAATTCTGCAAAACAGGATCAAGTGATGGCCATGAGCTCTTGAACTCAAAAGTCACATTCAGGGTAAAGCCTGCCCAGGCCACTCTATCTAAAACCAACCACCCTCACCTACACAAACACCACAGCTCCTCTTCCCAGCTCTGTTTTGCCTCCTTAGCGCTTAGCCCTGACTAAAGGAACTGTACCTCTCACCTTGCGTATTAGAAACCTTCTCTACTCAGAGTAGAGACTCTGGTGCAGATTGAGACTTTGGTTTGCTGTACCCCATTACCCAGAAAAGCCTGTGGTACATGGTTGGCACTTCAATATATCTTTTTCATTTAACTGAAATGGACTTCAGTTTCCTTGGCCCTGCAGGGCCCCCAGGAATTTTTTTTTAAAGGGCAGCTGCATCCTCTAGTAAGAGAACAGACAGCTTTTGTTGCTTCCTTTGAAGAGGAGCCAGGGTTTCCTCCCACTGCAGCTGGCAGCTGGGCCCCTGGTCCTATATGGTCTTGGCTGATCTGCAGAGAGTTGAAGCCCCCAGTTCTGCTATGTAGCATCTGACCTTGGCTAGAGACAGCTTATCAAAAGCCAGAAAACAGGTGCTTCTCAGCTTATTATGTGGTCATGTCCCAATAAACCCACCATAAACTGAAAATACCCTAAATTAAAAATGCATTTAATACACCTAACCTACAAAAAATGTGATGAGAACACTTGTATTAGCCTACAGTTGTGCAAAATCATCTAATATAAAATTTATTTTATGATAAAGTGTTGAACACTCATGTAACTTATTGAACACTGTACTGAAAGTGAAAAACAGAATGGCTGTATGGGTACATTTTGCACAATCATGAAGTTGAAAAATCATTAAATTGAAACATCATAAGCTAAAGACTGTCCATAATGCCCCCTAATTCATGTGCAAGGCATTCCTGTTTACAAAGGCAGTGGGTGTAATCCTCAGATGGGAAGACAGGATCAGAGAGGCAAAGGGGTTTGTTAAAAGTCTCATGCTTAAAAATAATAAAAGAGACATTTTGGGGGCTGGGGCTGGGGCTCAGTGGTAGAGCGCTTGCCTAACATATGTGAGGCACTGGGTTTCATCCTCAGCACCATATAAAAATAAATAAATAAAATAAAATAAAGGTATGTGTCCATCTACAACCACAGCTGCCAGCCACATTGGAAGAAAACCTTGACTCCTCATCAAAGAAAGCCCCCAAGGCAGGGTCCCCCGCTGGGGTTTCCTCCACCAGTGCTCACAACAGGATGCCCCTAGAGCAATTGTGAGGAGTCACTGAGGAGCTGAAGCAGAGCAGAGCTGGGGTTGATGTCCCCCATCAAGCAAGGCCACAGGCCAGCTCAGAAGTCTCTAAGTCTCTTGCAGACCACGGGGTGCAAGACCAAGGTGCAAGCAGTTGCAAATGCCTGGATGAAGCCACAGCCTGCACACTCCAAGGTGGCTCCACCTCACCACACTCAGGCCCAGAACCCCTGAGTCCTTCATGCGAAGTACACATTTAGCCATCAGCCCTGTCTGTCCTTTCTAGAGTAGTAGGATCAATTTCCCTAAGACAGACAGGAAATGGGCCCAGAAGGGCTGAGACTTACCCAGGGGTCTGGTGGTAACAGATGCTCAAAATGCAGGACTCAGAGGTTCAAGGGAGCCAGAGACAGGGATAACCCAACACCAGCAACCACAACCAGGGCAGCCAGGATCCTGGGCCTTGGTGCAAACCTTCAGGCCCTATCTGCTCCCCAACCCTGGCTTTCAAGCATGAGGTTTCCTGTCGTTTTCGTTTGCATGACTTAACTCACAGCCTCTACTCCTTCAAGGTCTTTCACAGACCAAATGGACTCCACCAGGAAGCCATCCTGCCCTCTCTCATCTCCCCTTCCCTGAACTCTGTGGCATAAATGCAGCTGCCATTTATTGAACACTCACTAGATGCCAGAGAGGCACTGAGTACACCACAGGTATTTGCCTATTTAATCTTCACAGCAGTCCTAGGAGATAGATATCATTAGTATTCTTATTTTATAGATTGAAAAAATAGGAGATTTAGAGAACAATTTGTTCAAGGTCCAAGAAATTGACAGAACCCAGATACAGGTGTGTTAGACTCCAGAGTCAACTTGCCCTGCCCCAGGAAGGTGCCCTCTGTCTCGATTCCCACCCCAGCCCATAATACCTCCAGCTGGTCACTTATTGGTTGATCTTGTTGTTTTAAATGTCCCACTTGAGAATTCCTACCTCCCTGTCAGACTCCCACCATTAGGAACTTTCATTTCTCTTAACTTCCACAGGTTATCTCCACTCAACCAGGCACACAGGACACATAAAACTGACCAGGGGACCAGCAAACACCAGTGTAGGCAGAAGTCTACACCAGGGTCCACCCCCAAAACACCAGTGGGGAAAACACATTCAGCCCACAAAAGGTCCCCAACAACCCTTGGGCCAGACCCACACATGGGGCCCCATTTCCTGTCTGAGATCCATACCTGGGAGACCTTCCTCCAGGAGTGCCGTGTTGGCCCGCCGATGACCTAGGTACTGGGCTGTGGTCCGCGGGAAGCGGTGATAGGCAAGCCGTGCATACTTCTCCCGGATCATCAGGGCCTTGGCCAGGCTCTTGGCGGCCTGCTCGTAGTCCTCCACAGTGATCTGCAGAGGGAGGCATGCAGAAAGGGCTCATGCAGCAGACCCAAGACTGCCATGCTTAAAAGGATCTGCTTGCAAGGTTGGCTCTTGGCCAGCACCTGGGACCCTGGATTTCAGGAGAATTCCCACGATTCAATGATCAATGAGTGGCTCACTATATCTGAACTATACAAAAAACATGGCTTATGCTGGATACCAGACTCCTTCTGGGAGTCTGGAATTTGGACATGAGCTATAGGTGTGTGAGCAGACCTAGCACCTTGGGCACCAAGAGGCTAATGAGCCTCCCTGGCAGACAGCACTTCACACATGTTGTCACACTCAGATGCTGAAGGTATTCTACGTTCTGGTGACTCCCCTGGGTGAGAACCCTTGCAGGCTTGCACCTGGTGTCCTCCAGACCTCAGCCCACGTACCTTCTCCTTTCTGGTTTGTTCTGTGTCCTCTCACTTTAATAAATCTTAGCTAGCTTTGAATATAGCTAGATGCTAAGCTGAGAGTGCTCCCAGCAAGTCACTGAACCTGAGGGTGGTCTTGGGAACACACACACACACACACACACACACACTCACACACAAAGAATTTCTGCATGCCCATCCCACTGCTTTGCCAACTCAGGCTTCTGATTAAATCTGGTGATCACCCAACTCATCCAGTCAACAGCATGTGCTATGTGCTAGACCTCTCCTTCAATGTCATTTTTCTCCTCAAAGCAGCCGATTTTAAAGTGGGAAAACTGAGGCCCAGAAAGGATCAATCATCCATGAGAATGTTGCAAAGTCAAATTTCAGACTCAGCTCTAATTGATTCTCAAAGCCCAAAGAAAGATGAGCTGCTTTCCCCGAGCTGCTTTATATACAGAGATGAAGGAAACACAGGCCTAACTTCCAACAGGCTCATTTATCTTGGTGGGTCTGGGAAGGAGGAATATCACAGAAATCGAAATGTGCTCAGGAGCACAAGCGGTAGACAGGACAGGGGGTGAGTGACACAGAAAAGGAGGTGCAAGATGCTGGAAGAGCACGGAGTGAGAAAGGCTGGGCCTGGAATTTTCCTCTTCTGCTTTAATAAAATAATCATTTTTTAATTTTGAAATGTTTTAAATCTACAGACAAGCACCGAAGGTTATATAACAAATACTCATGCACCTACCTTCCAGAGCTATCAATATTCACATTTCTCATAAATGTTTCAAAGGTCTTACAAGTGTAAATAAATCATTGTGGATGCAGCTAAAACTCTACCCTCCCCCACCACTCATTTTTAACCAAATATTACTCCTTGTTTTCTGTCAAGGCAGAATCTTCTCTCCTGCCTCCAAATGTCCCCACAAGAGGGGACATATTAATGCCACTTTATACCTTCCAGGGCATGGCCTCTGAGAGCAGCAAGGATAGGTAAGCAGACACAAATGTCTTAAACAAAACTATGTTCCTGACCACAGCAAAGCCAAACATGCTCCCTAGAACCAAAGGATTCACATAACAAGGGGCTCAGGCCACAGCCAAGAATATCAGTGAGGGTGCTCAGGATCCCGGTGGAGCTGCAGCCAATCAGGCCCCATTGCTGGCAGCAGACCCTCTGGGGCCAAGGAGATCTGCAAGGCGAGCCTGCTCCTCACAGACATGTAACTCCCTGAAGTCTAACTGCCTGGGTCAGGAGCCCCTTCCCTACTCCATGCCAGGCTGGCAAAAAGAAGCTAGTTCATGCTTCAGGCTGATGTCCTCTCGTTCAGCTTGAGGTCAGCCTGTCTCCACTCTCCCTTTCCACCACTGTGCCCACACACCTGAGGCTTTCACCAAGGCTCGGCCAGAATTCAGACCTTCAAAAAGGTCTGAATTGTTTCCAAATCAAATTCCCATTTCCAAGAACTTAACATAATTTGCAGTGCCTCCACACCATGGGATATTATGCATTTGTAAAAACAAATAAATAAACAAGAAAGTTCTTTATGTTTTATATGGCATTATCTCTAAATGGACTGTTAAGTGCGGGGAAGAAAAACTTGTCCACTTTCTAACCAAGACCCTCTCTTCCTGGTCGAGGGGATCTGGCCTATATTTAAGGATACCGACCCTAAGCATGTTAAGAGGAGCTAAGTTCGACCATAAACGATTTCATACAAATCAGTCAATACCATAACTTTGAATCTGCTGAACATTTGAGAATGCTGATGTACCCAAGCTGGCACCCTGCTCAATTGGCTGCGGTGACAGAGGGCAGACATTCTGGACTTGGAGAACATAGGGAATTTACAGGTCCCAGCCATGCTGTTCCAGACTGCAGCTCTGGGCCCTTTGCACAGGGCTGGAGCAGCTCCCTGAGCACTTCCACACCCTCCAGCCTCTGCTAGGACCCTTCCTCCTTTTCAGACTCCTGCACCTCCTCTCACCACCCCCCAGACACCCACAGACTGAGCCTGGCCTCTGCAAGCAAAGCCCATAAAACACTCTCATGGCCACCTTACCCCAGCACAGTAATCTCCACTGATGGTGACCCGCTGGTACTCAGGCATGGCGTAGGGTACTGGTGTGGGCTGGGAAGTGGCTCCAGGGGGTGCGGGGGTTGCAGGAGACATGGCTGGACTGGTCACTGGGGGGCCTTTCCAGTCTTGCTGTGTCGGCATTTGCAGAGACAGGGACTGGGAACGGATCATCTTGAAACTTTTCTTTCTAAGAGCCAAGGACAAGGAAAGCAGGAGACATCAGCAGCTGATTGAGGTGAGCCATAAGCAATCTTTATTAGGTACAGAGCAAGAGAATTTTGCTATGATTAATCACGGGTGCTGGCCCTACCATTAAGAAGTTTCTAATTACTTATGCCTTCCCTTTTACACACAACTCTGCGTGAGATTCAGCACAGCCCTCCAGATGCCCCAACCTGTGGTCACTATGATCTGCAGTGGCTGTGTCTGCAAATGCCACAGAAGACAGACGGATGCAGACCACTGCAGTGCATAATGGAAGTGAGGATAACGTAAAATCGGCCAGGCTTTCCCCATGTGAGGCCCTGTGTGAGGACAGCACATTACCTTCACAAAACCCAAACTCTAAGGACCGACACACAAACAGTCTCAGGAAGGTCTGTGAACAGGAACACAGAGGCAATCACACTGCATTTCCCAAAGTTGTAAATCTGGGGTACTGGATTTAGAAGAGATAGAGATGATCAGCTAGCCCAACCTCCCTGTTTTTTAAATAGGAGTCAGGGATCCCACAATGGAAAAGGGGCTTCCACAAAGTCACATAGCAAGGTGGCTGCTCTCCCCAGCCTGCTGTTAAGGAAAAGGAATGATCAGCATCAATTTCAAGACTGGACCTCTAGACCTGTCACCTTGGCACCAAAAGATTATTTCACTTGCTCTTGGGCACAAGGCTGTTTTAAAATGCTGCACGCTCATGCTGAGTTGGGATGACCTCACCTTCTTTATGAACAAAATAGTTATGTTTCAACTGAGGTCACTCCACATCCTGGAATCCCCAGGAAGGAAACTGCTCAGCACTTGGGCGAGGCTAATTAGCAAATCTCCCTCCCACTTCTCTTTCTGCCTCAGGTGGCATCCAGCCTCTGGTGTTGTCAACCACAGTGTCCAGTCAGAAGCCAGCAGACTCCTTGCCCCACCTCATGACTCAGGGACTCAGAAACTTCACGGGGATTTATTCCACCACAACCAGGGTCTACAGCCTCCAGCAAAGAACTTAGTGATAACAAGGATCCACCAGAGCCCATGGAATCCCTCTTCTTCCCCAGGCAGTGGTGACACAGGGTGTGGAGAATGCATTGATCCCCAAAGGGGCCTCAAGGCTCACCCAGAAACAGCTGTCTTCTTGCTGGCATTTGCCTAGGTCTCCTCAACTGCCAAATGTCCAGGAAGCACAATTCACCTCCTCTAATTATACACCCACCACATGCCACGGTCCTGTGGTTCTCATGCCTATGGTAAAGACTTGTGTTACCACCTCTTTGAGGCAAGGCTATTTGCACCTGAGAGATGGAGGTGGCCCCTTCTCAGGAGGTTACCTGAGTCTTCCCCTGGCCTTGAATAACAGACGAAGCTACCTCGGGAAACTCCGCTGGAACTCCAGGAACCCCAGCTGCTGTCCATCACAGGGACCTGAGTCAGCATCCTGCCCCATGTTAGATGTCAACTCAGACCAGACCATAATTCCTCAGAGCAGAGTCACCCTGAGCAAGGAGGCTCTCCCTTGGCATCTTTGGAACATTCCTGTCTAAGAGCCAGCGCTTTCGGCGTCCTCTCATCCTCTGACAGGCTCAGCTAGGTCCCAGGAAACTCCAGCTTCTGTGTCACTCTCATGCCCATCAGTCACTGTTTTGTGTCTCTCTGCCAAACCTCCTCACCCCTGTATGCCTCAGCCCATGCTGCCCGAGGCCTACCAAGGAGAAGTAGCAGGTGACTTCTAAGGTGAGCAACAGGTATGAAAGGTTTTTAAAAAACACAGGCCAAAAGCTGGAAGGTTGCACAAGCCAAGAGCCTCCCAGGCTTGTCCTAGGAAGGTCCACATCTTCTTTCCCACTGAGGAAGCCAACTGATGCCCAGAGAATACTCCTTCTTGCAGAAATCCATTATGGCTCCAGCCTTGGTCTTCCGATTGTCACATACAAACATCCTTAGGCTGGAAGCTCAGACCTTTCAGGCACAAAGGTAGGTTTAAAGACTGACGGGCCATATCCTCAGCGCCCACTCCTCTTGACCAGGGCCTGGGAATCATCAGAAGCTAACCGTGGAGCTTGTATCTCAAAAAAACTAGAGAAGCCGGTTTTGATTACTGAATAGCAAACTGCCACACATTTATTGGCTTAAAACAATAACCATTCATTCACTCACTGTCCTGCATGTGAGAAGTCTGGCTGGGCTTAACTGGCCTCTATGCTCAGAGCATCAAAAAAAACAAAATCAAGATGTTGGCCACACTGCTCTTGTGTGGAGGCTCTGGGAAAGAATCCATTTCCAAGTTCACTCAGGTTGTTGGTAGAATTTAGTTCCATATGGTGGTGAGACTGTGGTCCCTAGTTCCTTGCTGGCTGATGGACAGGGGTCACCTCAGCTCCTGCAGATGACACTCTGATCCTCACACTTAGCCCTCTGTCTTCAAAGCCAGGAGAGCTGTATGTTCTGGTACTTCAGAGCTCTCTGAGTTCCCCGCCTACTCTCAATCTGAGAGAGATCTCTGTTTTGAAAGGTTCCCGTAATTAGATCAGGCCCCCGGACAACTTCCCTATCTTAAGTTCAACTGGGCCATATGTCATGACAATCACAGGAGTGGCAAGTCATATTCTCAGGGTCTGGAGACTAGAGGGGGACATCTTGGAGGGGGAGTATTTTAAAAATTCTGCGGACCTCAGGCCCATATCTAGTATCCATCTACACAGGAGAGCTGGAGAGTGGCAGCTGAGTGTGTGGGCATGTGACCACCCGTGAATGTCCACACATGGGCCTCTCCTTCCTTCCCAAGGCTGTCTGAAGCCCCACGTGTGTCACCATAACAAAAGAAGGACACATAAGAAGCCACCATAATCTTTATCTGAATTACAGAACCATGGGGTCTCCTGGCTACAAAAGACCTTAAAGGCTCTGCACCCCAACCTCTCACTAAGGCAGCCTTTGCCTGGATGCCTCCAGTGACAAGGTTCCCCACATTTCTCCGTAAGACATCAGCATCATCACTCAATAAACATCTGCCAAGCACCCACTCTGGGCCAGGCCAGAGCCAGACACACAAACACACACGACATTGGCCAAAGCACAGTCTGTTGTCTCTGTTAGAAAGCACTTCCTCATGATGGGCCAACACTGTCCATCTGCAGTGCCACCTGTCCACACCTCGGACTAGCCCTTGGGGCACCAGGGTAAGCCAGTTCTCTTGACACAGCTGGTCCGCCCCCTCCTTCTTCCAACCACATGTACAAATACACTGCTGCCAAGGAGCTGGCAGGGGTGGGGCTGTGAGGACACCAGCTCTGGCCAAGCCTAAGGACCTGGGCTTAGTAGCAGCTTTGTCATCCCCTACACAGCTGGTCCTCCTGAGCCACAGGGACCTTCTTGTTGACCAGACCCCTAAGACAAGAAGACGATCTAGTCACGTGTGAGTTATTACAGCATTTCATCTCCCAGCACCTGTCCAGTGCCCCCACCTGCTCCATAGCCCTCAGCTGCCCCTGCCACTCATGATGTCCCCATTCCTACCCTGTCCACTACCCAGCCCTCCTCAGAGCCTGGGAAGCAGGCACCCCGAGCCTTCCAGAATATCTGGTTCTATGCTAAACTCTAGAACCATCAGCCCCCCCACCAACTTGTTCTTCATTCTAGAGAAATGCTGGTATCTTCCTGGAGGGGCTTCTAAAACCCACTGCCCCATTCATTCTGTCCAGGAATGGCCAAATTTAAGATCCTCTTGCCTTGACTTCCCAAGTTGCTGGAATTACAGGCCTATACCACTGCACCAGGCTAAGTAGGGGCAGGATTTTCCAAATAGAAGTCCCATCTTATGTCACAGTTCGAAACATAAACCCACAGACTGGGTATCAGGAGATCTGCTACTGGTTCCAGGTCTGTGGGCTCCTTGCAGGATGACTGCATATCACCAATCACATCTAGAATGTCAAGGAGGGGCCACAGATGGAGAGGCTGCTGGAGAAAAGGTGTCCTCTGTGAAAATATTAAGATTGGAAAGCTGTGTAAAGGCCCCTCCAGTGAGCAGTGAAGTTAAAAGACAAACTTGGGTATGCATGGCCCCAGGTGACACTGGGATGTCTGACCAGGCTGCCTTTCAGAAAAGAAGCCAGTGGGCACGGGCAGAGCTGAGACCATCTTCCGTTGTGCCACTCAGAAGCCAGCAGCTGCATCCTGAGGAGCAGCACTGAGTGTCATTCCAGTGTCCACACACCAAGGAGCCAAAGACTCACCCTGCCTGCAGATGGGACAGTCTCCTGGCCAAGGTATGGCATTTAGAGCTAAAAGACAAGGTTCCAGTCCCCATGCTCACTTAACTATGTGCAAGTTAATTCAACTTCCCTGAGCCTTACTCTTCTCATCTACAGTCAAAATACTAAGAATATCCACTCAGTAAGCTCCAGGTGGGGATGAAAAAATAAATGTAGACCATACCGCCCAGAACTTTGCCCAGGGTAAGAACTAACAGCAAGCTGCCACTGCTGCCCTCTCAGCAGCAGGAAGCTGGAGAGTTTACTGTCATTTACATGGTGTACTATGAGCCAGGCACGTCCTAAGCCTTTTGCATGTTAACTTCCTCATTTCTCACAATACCACATGAAGGCAGCTACTGTCATCATCCATGCTTCCTTCCATGAGGAAGAAGCTGGGGCCCAGAGAAGTTTCCTAATCTGCCTCAGGTCACAAAGCATGTGAATAAGTGGCAGAACACAGCAGTCTCTGTTGTGGTAGCGGTGGGGAAGCATCTTGCCTCTGCTGGATGTGCACTGCCCACCAATGTAGCTAAGGCCATGGATCCTGGAGAGACAGTGGGAGCCAGAGACACTCCTCAAGGGGCTTACCTCACATGGGGCAGACAGACACAAATAAGGAAGGGACAGAACAAATTTCTGAAGAGGGGTCTGCAGAGCAATTTCTGGAAATCACAGAGCACCATTTGAACTGAGAAAGCTTCCGTTTTGCCCTTATCCTGAGAATCGAGAAGAACAGTGGTCTCTTTTTGCAGATGTTGGGCCCCGTGTCACTCTGTAATAGAAAGTAGCCTCAGACACTTATTGTTCCTGGTAATAAAAAATGCCAGGACTTCTCCCCCTCTCATTATGAAGGGTCTAAAATGCTCAATTCATCACACACAGAGGATCCTGCAGGGCACTCAGTTCTTGCAGACAGCCCAGTGTTATGCCAGGGCAGCATGGACAAGGGTCTCTACTCTCATGCTTTTCCTCCTCCTTCTAGGGAGAAGCACGGTGCTAGCCAGGGACTGCCCACCTGGCTTCTTCCCTGAAGAGGGCAAGCACTGATCTCACAGAGGGCAAGGCTCTGTTCCTGTCTCTGTACCCACAGTCACCTTGTTACTTCCAAAAACAGTCAAGGGAGTGCTAAATTCTATACTACCAAGACAGGCAAGAACTTGCCTTTTAAAATGACGGGGTGCTTTGGGAAAGGTCTGATCCCTGACTGGGTCTCAGAGAGGGCTCAAATTTCCACGACACCAGCTGTTGAGATCTACAATGTGCTGGGCAAGTGGGGACCTGGCGACAGCCCCACTAGATACTTCCTCAAGGCTTTTCTGCTGCTTTAATTTTGCTCTTCCAGGTGAGATGAGCCGTGAAGGATGAGGACTTCCCATTGCACTTGCCTAAGATCCAAACTTCTGATCTGGGAGCACAAAGCCAGTCTGATAAGCCAGCCTGCCACCCTTCTAGCAGCAGGGTAAGGCCTGTCTCTCAATAGGCCGCTAACTACGTGGGCCTCCTTGAAGATACCTGGGGCCTCTGCCCGCACCTGACTCCATACATAGCTAGATCCTTTGCAGCCTTGAAGTGTCACCTCCTTAGAGTAACTCATCCTTACTACCCAGTCTAATAAAAGTCTCTCTATCCTACCCTCCCTCTCTCCCTCCCTCTTCATCTCCTTCCTGGCTCTCATGCTGATCCTAGGCCTGTTTGTCCTCAGATCCATTCCTTCTCCTATTTCCCAGGGGTGTCATCTGGCTGCTGGCCTAGGTCTGGCCAATGCAGCCACTGGGAGAAACCTGGAAGTTTCAGGAAGAGTAGAGCCATGTATGGTACCTCCTGCCTCCACCTCTGCTTCGGGATGCAGCTCTTGGGTCTCCTTCTTGGCTCCAGTTCCCTTTGGAAAGGCCAACCCAGTGCTAGCTTCCCCGGGTGACCCCACCCTAGGCTCCAGCCTAGGTTGTCTCTCTAAGTTGTCTGGTGGTGGCCGCCCCTACTGCCTTTCATCTCCAGGCTGCCCCTCTCCCCCATTTGGCTCCTCCGTTCTCTACTACCCATGTAACCAATTCCTTGCACCCAAATCCTATTTCCTATACTCAAATTGTTTCTGTCTTTCTGGTTGGACCCTGACTGATACAGCAACTATCATAACTTGTAATACTTTTATTAATTTGTTCAGTTAGTTATTATCTGGACCCACTGTAAGTTCTACAGGGTGGGGGCTATATCTCTACTGTGCATTGCTATATCTGCAGTCCCGGTACAGCACCTGGCAATCAGGGAGCCACCTTAACAAGAAATGCAAACAAGTGTCCAGTGATGAAAAGATATATAAAAATTGGTGTTTCCCAAGAAATCCTTAAATTTCCAAAAAGAAAAGGGAAATACCATTTGGAAGCAGAGTGTATTTCCACACGTCATTTGTTATTAAATAGTAGCAAAGAAAGAGTGTTTTTTCATCTTTTCCACTCAACAGAAGCACCAAGACCACCTTCAATAAATAAGTGGTTTGTAAGTAGTCTTGATTAAGAAATCAACATAGCCCAGGGACAAGCCAGCTCCCCAGGGTACCACGCCTCAGGACATGAACGCCAAGTCCTGGACAAACCTTTTTGCAGTCTCCACAGACTTCTGCTCCGCCAGCTCCTTCTGTAGTTCCCTCTCCTTGGCTTCCTTCTGGCCAATGGGGCAGTCCTCAGGGACAGTGAAGAGGGACAGGGCATCTTTACTGTCCTCTTCTCGTAGCACTTTAGCAAACACCTTCTCAGCCAGCAGTCGGACTTGCTCGTCCACTTCAGAGATGTTCAGCTTGGGGAATTGTCGCGGCATCTCGGCTAGCAAAGAAAGAAGAAGAGCGTGAGTCTAATGTGTTACTGGATGTCCTGGGTCCCCACTGTGGGGGGCCAGAAGGCACTGAAGTGAGGACTAGTTCCACCTGATCCTTGGGTCAGCTGTCAACCCAGGAATTCCCAGATCAAACCCAGCAGGCCACATTTCAAAATCAGTTCCATAAGTGATCAAGGGTGAAGCGGATGGAGCCACTCATGTTTCATGGAAAAGCAAACACTCAGACGTCAGAGAATGAACTATTCAACTAGGTATTCCCATTTTCCTGATCTTAGGGAATCTGCAGCACATGGCAGGCCTGCCCTCCTGACTTTGCTTCCAAGACTAAGTAGGGGCGGGGGAGAATTCAGAACATCCCTCCTCCAGTCTATGAAGTTATTAGGAATGCAGCACTAACCAAACTTTACTCCCCCTCTTCCAGGAAGAAAGTCCAAAACTCACGGGGTTTCACAATGAGCTTATAGCCCCACAAGATTACAGCAGAGCCCTGGTAAATCCAAAGCTGCCTTCTACAATTCATAAAATGAGAACTTTGGCTGCTAAGAAAGAATCTGCTATCACAGTTTATGGTCCCTCAAAACCTCCAGAATTGTCTAATAAGACACAGCAAATAAAGTTAATGTTTGAACAGGGATGCTTCACCCAGCTGAAAACTCACTTCCTCAAAGAAACTTTTCCTATCCAACTCTCTGACACTGGAAGTTTTTCTCATCACCTGGATGCTTTCTTTTTCTTTTCTTTCTTTGCTTTTTTACTTTTACAAACACTTATACAGCACTTATTATGTACAGTCTGCCAAGCATTTTATATTTATTATCTAAGTTAATATTTTTTGCTATTTTACAGATGAGAAAATTAAGGCATAGAGCGACCTCTCTCAGGGTCACACCTGCGATAAGTTGGCAGAGGTCTGTGCTTTTCTCAAACTTTCTCTCTTCTGTCCTCGGATCTGAACCCAAGCCCCCAGTTGTCCATCTATGTCCTTAACCACTATGCAGTGCTGCTACTCTGTGTTCCTTCAGGTGCAGGACAGGGACTCTTCATGCTCCCCAAATATCACAACACCTTGCAATGGGCAAATTCTGCCAATTTTCAACAAGCCACCTTCTCCTGGAGCAACTCTGAAAGGGGAGTTTCCTGTCCACCTATTACCACTGTTTCTTTAAGTCTGGTTTAAAAAAAAAGAAGTGATTTTGTTGACAGACAAGACAAAGGTGAGGCAGGAAGAGGAAGAAATTAATTCCAGGGAAAGGGGCTCATTGGGCCATCTCAGGACAGTCATTCTCTGGCCTCGTAATTTTCTTATCTGAGATTAAACGACAGGACTAAATGGTCTCTAAGGCCCTCTCAGTTCTAAGTGGTATAATTCCAGGTACCGGAGAGGTTTCCGGTGCCTGGGGAGGCTTACTGTGCTGGTCTTCTCTGTGGCATGTGAGGCTAATTCATGACACAGACAGGAAGGAAGAAAGTAGGCTATAATGGGCAGTTAGAGCGGTGTCTGTGGGCCCCTTGACTCTGAAACCAATTTTCTCTTCCCTCCACACGCAGGGACATGACTTTCTCAGGCCTCCCTTTCCCTAAGGGAGTTGGGTAGGAGGGAGCTGGTGAGGAAGAGCCACCACAGCACGCAACTCTGCTGGTCTAGGGAGCAGACCCAGACAGCAGAGGTCTGGCCTCTTCAAAGAACAAGAGGAACAGAGTTGACTGTGGAGACTGCCATGTTCTAATTGCAGAGTTAAGGGGAAGCTAGAGGTCATCAGAACAGAGGTTCAGAGAAGCCAATGGGGGGATGCTGGAACAGCATAAAGAACCAGGCACAGGAGGCACAGTCAGGCCAGGAAAAGCTATACCCCCACCACCCCTCAACTCCAAGTCCATGGGTCAAGTGCAGCATTCCAAGTCCTCACATCACATTTCAGAAGTAGACAGGCCCAAATAAAGGGCAGCAAATGTCACAAAGCACCCACATTGTTTGACTGGTAATCCCACTTCTAGAAATTTCTCTAAGAATCTGAAGAAAAGAAAAAGTACAAAGTTCATTAGCTGTACTCTTTATGTAAAGACCTTTAAAATGTCCAAATTAAAGCATACACACTTGAAAAAATTGTTAAGCTACCAATATTATAATTATGAGGACACTGAATCATATTCTAAAAAAATCTTGTGAGATAATAGTAAATAAAAACATTAATGCCTGAAAATTTACCTGTGCTTTGATTATGATGGTATAAAAGTGAATCCCCTTATGGACAGGGGCTGCAAGGGAGAGACATGTTCAAAATGAGCAGATGACAGGATGGCCTATGTGTAAGGCTGTCTTATTTTGATAATTAATGCTCTAATAATGTCACTTTTTAAAAAAACACAGAAAGAACAGAAAGAAAAATGATTAGATTTAAGACCTTATTTTAAAAGGTGGGGGGACACAGTAAAAATAAACCGTGATCTTATTCTAGCAAGTTTTGGCAATCAGGGACCTCTTCTGCCTACCCGACATGGAAAGAGGCCAGACCAAAGGGATTTGTACCATTGAAATTCATCTCTGCCTAAGCTCCTGCCCTGCATGGAAGCTGCCCACCACCACCTTCCCGCCCACTCCACCCCCACAAATGCACACATTCCCCAGCAGGTTGTCTCAGGAATGGGCTATTTGGGGGAAGGTCCTTTATGTCTAAGGGTTCTTACACCAGAGTCTGCCATCTTTGTCCCTGAAGCATTTTCAGCTTGCTCAAGTTAATTCAAACATACTTTTCAGGATGCATCTTTCTATAAAAGATCTCCTCCTTTTACTTTAGCTTAAATAGTTGAAATCAAACTGGGCCCCAAGAGAAGTTGATACCTGTTGCTAGAAAAACAGGACCTGCTATCAAATACTGGGGAGATACTGTGTTCCATAGGCCCTCCACCCAGGTTCATAAGGCATGTTAGACCTCAGGATCATGGAGTAGCATTTTCCCAAGGAAGTCTTTCTTTCACAGAGCTCATGGGAACCACGGCAGTGTCTTAAACAACTGTCACTAGTAGGGAATCCATGCACTACATCAGTGGGCCTTGCAGCCTACCACATATATGCTGTCTCCTAGACATTCCAGACAGACAACTCCACCTGCCAACCTTCCTGACAGAACTCAAACCCCCCTCAGACCTCCTGACACCTGCCAGGCCAGGCCTGCCAAGGAAAGACCACTCTGCAGATGCCAACTAGAGTTCAGCTCCAGCTGCCTAATAGTGTCTGGCCTTCAACCATTTGTCAGCTGAAGCCAGCAGTCGTGCGAGACTTAACTGTGAATTCACCAGCATCGGTCAGCTAGTGATACAGCTTATCTCTTGTTGCATATGACACCCTCTGATGAGCATAAAGAAATGTCCCGAAGTTAGAAAGCTCTAAAAATGCCACCAATTTCAACAAACAGTAAATTTGCATAGCACTAGAGCCCCTCCAGAAAAGCAGCACAGTGACCCTGAAATCTCCTCCTTACACAAATGAAGCTGTTTCCTGCCTTTGCCAGATGCTCTCTGATAGAACCCATGACACAGACCTGAGCCCGGCTCTGGAGACTCCATGACTGATCCTGGGGATCACACAGGCAACGATGTCCTCCGGCCAGGTGCTAGTGCTGCCCTGGAGGCTGCGCTGAGTCAGTGTAAGAGCAGCTAGCTGGGTCCTGCCTGCCGCTGCTGGGGTGGGAGGTCTCTGCTTTGCATATCTGTGAGCAGGAAAAGTCTGGGCTGGAAATTCTCCCGTGAATACAAAATGCGAGTGGAAAATTTCAAGAGCCCTAAAGGCCCCAGGTAACGCCGGTTATCCAAGCTTGTAGTATGAATGTGGTCTCCTGGCCCAGCTCCCAGTCCTCCACAGAAGAAAATAAAGCAGCCACTACCCACAGCAGCACATTCAGCCGTCCTGAGCAACCACAGAAGATAAGCCACCGCCTCTCTCTAACGCCCAGATCCTCCTGAAAGCCGAGGAGCAGTGAGATACCATCACCCCCTGCAGCTTCCGCTTTGAAACCCACTTCAGGCCTGACCTGGAGACAGGCCCATCTCCCCAAGGGGTTTCTTCTATGGCACAGCCTGCCCTGTCTTCTCTCAGAAGACACCCCCAAACCAACCCTCCTGACGGCACCCCAGGACTGGAGCAGGAACTCAGAGCCCAACTGCCAATACCAGGGCCTCCCTCCCCTCCTCCTCTAAAAGAGGAAAGGCCCCGTGAACTGTTTCCTCCTGGCCCAGGAAGGACAGTCTCAGAAGAGGGGAAAGCCCCAGCACAGGGACAGCACAGGGATAAAAGCAGCAAGCCCATCCCTACACATCCTTTTCTTACCTGAAAGAAACCACACATCACAGATTACAGGCCAGCCTGACAGAGCTCCAACACACACACACACACACACACACACACACACACACACGGAAGAAATATGTCCACCTGGCCCACCTGAGCCCACGCCCTGCACCCTTCCCTTCTTACTGCCTCTTATGTGGGCTCCAGCTCTGATCAGCCTCCTGAGCTGGCTGGACTCTGCCATTCTCCAGGGGAAGGTGGAGCCTGCCTCAAGTGACCCACAGAAGCCAAGCAGGATGGATTAAAACAGCATCACGGGCACAAAGCTCTGCATCCTTTCAGTCTGCCTTTTAGGAGAATGGGGAGGCCTCAGAGGAGGCACATTGGCCTTCCAGTGACTTCGACAAATTGTGTGCGTCTGGGAAATAACCATGAGCAAAATGGCTATTTCGGTGGTGCTGTTGAAATCCTGGGGAGAAGAGCCCAGAAAGAATGGGTCAGCTGTTTACCGAGAAGCTAGATGTAGCCCTGACTTGGGCCTGAGTCACCTCCTCATGTCCAATCGAGATGTTGTGCCTTGCTGAGCCCACATCATAACTCCTGTGAGCACAGAGCAGGATTACAGGGTTGACACATGATCCTCAGGCTGCTGCTGGGCTTTGGCTACCCAGAGATTACGATCCACCTGTCCTCACAGCTGTTTCATAAACGTTACAATCAGCAGGCTACAAGGAGGGTAATATTTATTCATTAAATAATTAAACGGGCTTACAGCCTGAGAGAAAAATAATATCCAAGCCCTTAGTGTTGTTCTGCCAGAAGGGAGGAGACAAACGATTTCTTCTGCTGGTGTTTTGGGGGAAAGGAAAGATCAGGTGGAGAGTGTGATGGGAGCATCCTAAACCATGGGTCTAAGTCCAATGCATTCAGGTCATTTTATTCTGTACCTTTAATGAGATCCTAGATAGCCTTAGTCTAAACAAAGTTCAGTCTGTGGAACCTAAAAGGACAGAAGGCTTGGAAAATACTGCATTCCACAGTTCCACCATGAGGATTCATGCATAATTTCTACTAACAGATTCAACTCCATCGAGTCTAGACAGAGACAGGTAGCAGCTCCATCAGATGACACTGGGTATAGCAACAGCTAAGGGTCCTGCTGGAGCTAAATGATGGAACACCTTCTAGAATAGGGCCCATTTAGGAGCAAACTAGAGCTCTATTTCAGGAGGGCAAGCTCTGCTCAGGACCTCATGATTCCACCTAGAGCCTAACATGTTGCTATTCCCTGAGGCCCAGGTGTTTCCCTAGGCTAAAGAACACTGGTCCCAAGTCCTAAGCCTTACTTCCCTATTGAATGGACATCAGGTCAATATTTAATAATCAGACTCAGAGGCTGTATCCCCTGCCTGGGAAACCAGGCTACATTCACTTTTATCACTTACATGCCCTTAAAAGACCAGAAAGGCTGGAATCAAAGTATGTATGTCTCATTGGGAAAGAGAGGCACAGGCTTGCCTAGAGTGGTCCATTTCCCTTCTTGTTCCTGAGATGCCCGTGACTTACACAAGGACTTGGGCAAAGAGGTTTTTTCTGCTCAATATGAACTCCACAACAAATTTTGTCTGTCTCATTCACAATTATATCCCCACGCTTGGAATATGGCAGGCACTCAATACATATTTGTTGAATAAACTATTGTATAAAACACAAGTAAGTGAATAAGCTTTGTACAGGAATCTACCTATGGCAACTCCAGATCAGTACAGTGGCAATCTCCTGGGTTCGAATCTCATTCCACCACTTAGTTGCATGACTTCAAGTAAGTGATTAAACTTTCTGTGCCGCAGTTTTATTCCTTATAAAAGAAGAATGATAAAAATACCAGCCTCATGGGTTGCCATGACAAATTAGCATATGTAAAGTGCTTAGACTAGTACCTGGCTCAGAGTATGTGCTTTGTAAGCATTAGCTGTCAACATCATTATCTTTATCATCATTTCATCAGATAAAAGAGATTTCAACTGGGAAAATAAGCATAAAGTTTAATCTAGACACTGAATCTTTTCATTTAGTATTACTTATCAAGCACAATTGGGCCTGGTACTCTCCCAAGTTCCTACCTGGGTACAGGAAGAAGGAAGCCATGTTTAAATGTGAAGCTAGGTTAGAAGGAGGAACAGCCTTCTCCTCTATGAATGCTACTTCTTGGTAATTCTACACATCTAGGATTCCAACCATGTGTGCCCCCTCCCATTCCTTAATCAGTTCCTCATCACCATTAGAAACAGTTACTATTGTCTCTTGTCCTGAATATGCAGTCAAGATGTGGAAGAACTAACAATTAATCTGCTTGGTGGAAGAACCAGGAAAGCCAATGAGCAGCTTATGGAGAAAAAATAATGTATCTCCCCACTTAACCCTAAAACTATATTTGTCTGCCCATAATGTTATCAAGATCTGAGACTGATGTTAAGACCACCTTGAAGAGTGATCCAGCAAGTGCAAGGGCAAGAAAAACAACTCACATATCTCAAAGAACTTCTTGTCTTGGGTGAGAGCAGCTCAACAATTATCCAGGATCAAGTGACTGAGCCTGGGCTAAAAGGGACTAAAAGTTCAGAGGGTCTCCCAATGCCCCAACCACACAAGAGCCATAATTCCAGAGAGGGTAGTGCCCTACTATCATTTCCAGAGAAAGTCAGGCCCCTCGGAGTAGCAGCCAAAAGAGACCAACTACCCCCGGGCCTTCTGTAAACACTCTGAGAAGTAGGAGCTGACAGAAGCTGTCTGGCTCAGGGGCTCCACTGCCACTCAGCATGGATGCTTCACAGCCAGAGGATAAATTTCTCCTCTGCAGGTTCCAGCTGCAGTCAGCTTTTCCCTGAAGATGGCCAAATGTTTGTCACTCCCTCCGGGGGAATAGCCAACCAGGGCTCAAGGCCATGCTGAAATCCCTCCTAATGCTGCCAGCTTTCACCCAGCTCCTTTGCTTATTTGTAGTCAGAAAGGTTCCAGTCACAAACAGTTCAGGGACGTGTTGGTTAGCAAGCCTCTCCTACTCCAGGAACTCTCATAACTCACATCAGAGGCCACTGCCAGCCTAGACCAGCCATTAGCAGCTCTGCTGGCAAAGCAGCTACCAGGAAGTTCAAGGGCAGAAAGCAGACTACCATAAAACAAGGCTACCCCCAGAAAGCCAGAAGGAAGAATGAAACGACTCATCATCCTGTCCATTCCATGCCGCCAGGTAGAGTCCACCTCAGCTGCCCACATCCGGCAGGTCTCAAGCACCTAGAAACTTGTCCAGACACTTAAGTGGCAGCATATCCCAGGACCTTTAATTTCCCTAAATCTTGAGAATCCAATCTAGGCCTCCAGGAATCAGGGATGCTGCAGCTAGCTCACCTGGGGCCGCTGAAGTCCAGGCCACCTCCAGGAAAGGGGCGGGAACATAGGCAAGGATAGGGCAGGGGATAAGCCTGAGGTCAGCAATGCCACCACTGTGGGATGGGAAGCCACAAGCCGAGGTCGCGACCCTGGAGCACTCAGGACTCCCGGCCTGGGCTGCAGGGGCCACAGGGAGCCGGCCCAAGGTCAGCAGTGCAGCATCGCGCGCACTCACCAGGTTCGGAGGACAGGGCCATGCCTGGGCCCGAGGGGGGAGGCGGTTGCAGAGCTGGAGAGCAGGTGACACGCTAGGCAGGGCACACAGCTAGCGCCGCGGAGCCGGGCTGAGGAGCAATGAAGCCCTCCCAGGCGGGCTCGGGCCGGGCCAGGCCGCGGTCCGGCCCGCGCTCCGCAGGAGCCCGCAGCGCGCCAGTGGCAGGGGCGGGGGCCAAGCTTCACGAAGGTGCTGCGCCACCGAGCCCTGGCTCCAAAGCCCCCGAGGCTGTCGCTGCGGGTGGAGCGAGGGCCGCCTCCGCAGGGAAGCAGCCAGCGAGCAAGGCGCGCCGCCCTAGTCGTGCCCTACCTGGGCGCGGAGCGGAGGAGAAGCGAGAAGCCGGGAGCGGAGGGGCGCCGGTCTGGCAGCCGCTGCCCGCCAATTAGGCCTGCCCGCGGCTACCTGAAGCTCCCCGCGGCGCTGCCAACAGGAAACTTGAGAGTGCCAGGGGTGCGGCAGCAGCCCAGTCCCCCCGCCGGAAGCGCGCCCGGCGCCGCCTGGGCTCTGCTGGGCCACCGCCGCAGCCACGGGTCAGAGCCAGCCAGGATCCCCCTCCTCGCCTCCGCTGCCACCCAACGCCGCTCGGTTCGGCGATCGGGTTTGCCTGGCATCCTCTCCTCCCAGCCAGAACTTTCTCCAAGGCGAGATTCGAGGGGTCTCTGCCCCCACACAGGTGACTTACTCCCTGTAGTTGAACCGACCCACAAGCATCCGTTTTCTCCCAGGTGTCCGTCTGGTCACTTGTTTCACCTTCCCGCCCCTCCCTCCCTGGCTCTCCAACTCTGCTGCCAGGCTTCTACTCCCGCCCCTCAAAGTCCGGAATGACCTCCTGGCTGCCAAATAGGTGCCTCCCTCGCTCACCTCTCTCCAGCACTTGAGCCTGCTGACCACGCCCTCCTTCCTGGAACGTTTGGAGAATGCGATCTCCTAAGGGAGAGAGCCCGCTGACACTCCTCCCTGCCCCCCACCCTCCTTCCCAAAGACACTAGCACGAGCTATATCTGGGGGCCTGTGGCTTCTAGGCCTCCAAGGCCTGGCTTTTCTTGTGGTGTTCCCTGGGGTCCCACTGTGTCAACCCCCTCGCTCACTCTACTGATCCGTTCTTGGGGATCCCTGCCAC